GATGACGAAGTGAGTTCTCCTGTACGAGCTCATCCTTTGGATTTCACTTATGGTGGTATGTAACTGTTTGGATGTCGATGTGAACTCTTTCATGGGAGCTTATCTTTTGAGCCTTACATATGATGATCTCTAAGTGTTTTGATTTTTAGGATAGCTATCTCGTGGGAGCACAATTATTTTACTTGACTTTAGGTAGTCTTTAATTGTTTGGATGCTAATGTAAGCTCTCTCGTTGGAGATCATACTTTTGGCTCCACTTAGTGTGTTCTTAAGGAAGTGTTTGGGGCAAGGAGTGAAGTTGTTAAGTCTGGAGTTTTTTAATCTGTGAGTAATCTGAGGAGTTAATTAATCTGGAGTTGTTCAGTATGTGTTTAGGATGCAAAGTTGTTTAGTCTGGAGTTGTGTAAGTTAGGTTTTTATTTTCAGATTTTTTTGGTGCAACTGTCTCATTAGAGCTACATTTTATTGATTTTTTAAATTTTAATCAATAAAAATTTGTTCACGTCAATTCTACCATTGATATTTTAAGTTGTATTGCTTTGTAAATATTTTAAAATTTTATTTACGTACCTATTCTTTTTTTTTCTTTTGAAAAATAAATGCATTTAAAAACTAAGAAGAAACTAGTTCACTTTAAACTACATTCAAAAGAAAAGGCAAAGGCCATGCACTTCATCGTCACACTGACTTGAAACGCGACATGCGGTATTGACGATTGAAGCAAAACTCGATGTTGACCTTGAGTGAATTGAGGAAACTGTTCATCAGCCAATTTTTTGCCCAACACGACGTAAAGAAGCCAGTTTCATACCTCCTCACCTTGCAACAACACGTGGGAGAGTCTCTGTGTGATTATGTAAGTCAGTTCTTCGAGGAGACAATCAAGGTGGAAGATTGCACCGACAAGTTTGCACGATCTACCTTCATCGAGGGCCTCACAGATCTCGATTTGGTGAAGTCATTCAGATGTTTCCTAGTCAATACCTACTACGAAGCGCTCGTCATGCCAGACAATACGTGGATGGAAAGGACCTCATGAAAGCTAAATAACACTTCTGCGAACAAAGTCCCTAGCCCTTAAAAGGCAGGGACAAGCATGGAAAAATCTCACAAAAAACACCCTGACACTCATAAGAAAATCAATGGGTACCCGCCGCACAAGTTCACCAAGTATAGGTCGGTGAACGTACCGCTGTTAGAACTTCTGTCGAACATCAAGGACAACGACTTGAGAAACCAGCTTGACTACCTGGAAAGGATAAAAAGATCCTAAGAAGCGGAATCTGAATAAGTATTTCTGATTCCGCCGAGATCATGGTTATGATACTTCTAATTGTTATAACTAACAGACCAAATAACCTTGATTAACACGACCATCTGAAAAAGTATGTAGGGCAGGGAGGTGCATGCTCGACTCAAGGCACCAAAGGGAAGGACGATAAGGACGATCGAGATGGATTACTAGATCCAAAAAGAAAGGACCAACCTTTAGTGATCAATACCATTTTCGGTGGCTCAAGCGGTGGGCAGTCTAGAACAAAGCACAAAGCCCTCATACGAGAGTCCAAGCATGAGGTCAACTCCTCTAGTACAAGGAGTCCCTCCTCACGGACAAGATCTAAAGGGGACCGACGAACCGCATAATGACGCACTTGTCATAACGATCATGTCAAGGTATGTCGAGTGCTGGTGGATGGAGGGGCCTCTACGAACATCATCTCTTCTCAACGTTGGGATGGGAGAGAGCCCAATTAAAGGAATCTCAACGCTGCTGGTGGGCTTCGCAGGCACAAGCGTAACTTGGATGCATCGAGCTACCTCTCACACTCAACGAAGGAAACACACAAGTGACAAAGATTGTTCAGTTCTTGGTGGTCAACAAGTCCTTAGCTTACAACGTCATCATCGACCGACCTTTCCTCACGTGCTACAAGCGATCTCCTCCACCTACCACCAAATGATAAAATACCAAAGCCCGCGTGGGATAGGGCAGATCCAAGTGGAGCAGATTGCGATGTGTGAGTGCTATACTATAGAGCTAAAAGGTGCATCCACGTACGCCACGATTGAAAGGGAGTTGTCCTAAACAGTTGAAGAGAAAGGTCTTTCACCATTTGTCCAAGTCAGTGAGATTCCTCTAGTCAATGACAGAGGAACATCCACGAAAGATCTCAAGTTCATCTCCATGCTCAGTCTAGACAACAAGGTGAGCATTGAAAACGAAGTTATGGGCTACCATCAGAACATAGAGTTATATATCTTTTGCGCACAAATTCGAATGTATTTGCATGGTCCCACGTAGACATGTGGAGCATCGACCTGAGGATTATGGTTTATAGGTTGAACGTAGATCTGACCTTAAAACCTGTAAAGCAGAAACGCTAACCTGTGGACGTTGTGCGTAATAATGTCATTATTGAAGAAAATAAAAACTTCTCAAGGTGAAATTCTTATAAGAAGTTCAATATCCTGAGTGGCTCTCTAATGTTATTTTAGTAAGAAAAAACAAAAGGCAAATGAGAAATTGCGGAGGTGCATGTACTCCACGAACTTGAATAAAGCCTATCCAAAAGACAGCTACTCGCTCCCAAGAATAGACCAACTAGTCGAAGCAACGGTCGGGTACGAACTATTGACATTCATGGGTGCGTACTCCAACTAAATCAGATTGTAATGCATGCCTTGGATCAGCTGCATACCTCGTTTGTAAATGGACAAGGCCTCTATGGTTTCAAAGTGTCCTTGGGTTAAAAGACATGGTGACTACCTACCAGTGGATGGTCAACACCATGTTTGTTAAGCAAATCAGTAGAAACATGGAAATGTATGTTGACGACATGCTCGTGAAAAGCAAGACGGTGAGGGGGCATATCGCATATCTGACGGAGGGGTTCGAAGTCTTATGCTAGTATAGAATGAAACTAAATCCAGCAAAATGTTCCTCCGGAGTTTCGTCGGAAAAATTTATGGCTTCATGGTGCATCAAAGAGGGATTGAGGCAAATCCAAACAAGATCAAAGTCGTCTTGGACATAGAGCCACCCAAAAACTTGAAATAGCTGCAGTGTTTGATCATCGTATGGCACCCTTAAATCGATTTGTCTCACGGTCAACCGACAAATGCCTACCTTTCTTCCAAAATTTAAGGAATAAAGGGCAGTTCGAGTGGGGGACGAAATGCTAGCGAGCGTTCACATAGCTGAAAGACTACCTAGGTTCAACGCCCCTCCTAGCGAAACCTCAATTGGGAGACCACTTATTTATCTACCTGGTAGTATCAAAAACAACAATTAGTCCGGTCTTAATATGGACGATAGAATTCCGTGTACTACACAAGCAAGTGCATGACAGATGTTGAAACTAGGTATCCCGTTATAGAGAAATTTGCCCTGACATTGGTGACGTCGGCAAGGCAATGGGACCATACTTTCAAGCCCATTCAATAACCGTGTTGACAAAATTTCCCATGATGCAGGTCTTCCAAAACTTCGAAACTTCAGGTTGATTGATGAATTACGCAATAGAGTTAATCGAATATGACATCTAGTTCAAGACCAAACGGTCTTACAAGGGCAACCTGTCGTGGATTTTGTGGCCGAACTAACTCCACGCACATCGGGGGAAGGGTCAAGACAACATTGGAATCTTTATGTCAACAGGCCATCAAACAAGAGACGATGCGAAGCTGGGATCTTACTATGGTCTGCAAATGGAGCAGTTTCGATTATGTGATCCAGTTCAACTTCTGAACCTCGCACAATGAGGCTGAGTACGAAGACCTCCTCGTTGGCCCAAGAATGGTGCGAGAAAAGACTCTGTTGCCAAATTTTTTAGAGGTAATGAAAGAAAGTACGAGATAACTTATAATTCATAGAAAATATGGACAGGAACTCCTTGGATGAGTGCTTGACACTTTCCTCCATTGGAGCTTGATTACTTGAATTGATTGGAGGGGGTAGAGAACAACTCTATTTATAGGTGCTAGGAAGGACTCTAGCTAGTTAGATAAATCTTTCATATTCTTAAAAGTCATTCATAAACTCAAAAGATTTATTGAAATACAATTTACATTAAAACTTATCTTTGAAATTACAAATTAACTAACTCCCAACAAAAGATAGATAAGTAAGAGAAGAAATGATGAAAGAAGGGGAAGAGATGAGAAATAGAGAAAGGAGGGAAAAAAACAAGAAAATGAGAGGGAGAAACCAGAGTAAGAGGAGAGAGAAAAAATCAAATCAACAATAGTCGAGGGCAAACCCATCTAATTTCAAGGAACCCGTGGCAAAATTAATGCCTGCATCACTTTTTTTTTAATAAATTAATTAAAGTCGGTCCACTCGATCAAAAATTATGTTTTCAACCAAACCGATTAACCAATGAATCAGTTTTGTATTTTACAAAATCAATTTCGACTGAACCAATCATCTAACTGATCGAGCCTATCATTAAACCAACCAACCAACCAATGTCGGTTCAATCGTATTGATTTTTCAAATTCTTTTTGTTCGCCCCTACAAATGGCAATCTATTTTTCCTTCAACACATGTATGCATGAGTAAGCGACCATTAGGCGTTTCGTCATCCGCCATGTCAATTACTATATTATCAAATACATGCAACCAGTAATTCAAAAACCTTTCCGTGTGTATTTTTCCAACTATTTTGTAGGTTTGTTGTATTGTTCACCTTATTTAGAATAATGATTCTCTTGTTTAAATTAGGTAAGATTCTAAAAATATTTAAATTAGCCTATAATAATGGTGGGAAAAATATTGGTAAGATTCTCCTGGAGAAATAATATATTAATTTTAAAATCATTTTAAGGAGGATAATTTCGTACTTAAAAAAGTGATAGAGATCTCCCTGTTTTAACCATGGCTATTATTGAAAATTGAAAGTTGTCTTAACCCTTTTTTAAAATGGCCTATTTTCAACGACTATATCTATAGTTACTCCTTAAATTAAATAGGTACATTTTCCACTGAGGGAGTGAGGTTCTGAAGGGGAAAACAAGAGCTTTATTTTCTTGACCCAAAAATGAGAGAGCTTTAAAACACCACCTTTTACTTACTGTTTTCTTGCTTGTTTTTTTTCCTTTTGATGGGGGCATAGCTGTCTAATCACACTTGACAAAATAAAGGATCAGTGATTAAGTTTGCTTGAACTTCTAAAATTGCTTGAACTCTTCGACTAAAAACTAAACTACTAAAAGAAACACCCGTTAAGATAATGGCTTCTATCACTTAAAGCATTTGGCATCCAACAAAGCCTCTCCTTCAAAAGGCTCCTGATCTTCAATCATCTGGTTGACCCGTTCCTTCTGCAACTCGTCCAATATATCGACCTTTCTCCATTCGTAAAGTTCCATGTCATAGCACTCATCCACAACGAATTTCGGGATCTCTTGTCCGCGGAAAAGCCACAACCCCTTCACTTTAAATGGAGGCTCTGACCCGATCACTAACATCTTCCCGAAAGCATACTTACGAGCGAGATCCATTCGTTGGAGAAAGCCACCAACCTTGTTCAAAGTCACAAAGGAAACAGTATTCTCGTCGTTGTACTTGTAATCACAGAACCAAAGAGAATACCCTTCTGGATCGTACATGTCCCAGAATCCTGCAACAAATTAAGGAGAATGGTAGTTAAACTAAATGCAACGATGGAAAGGATTACCCAAATCAAGCTACGCATTAAATTATCAAGAACATCAGCAGAGTAGTTATTTGTCTAGAAAGTTAAATCGTAGGTTGTGAAATCATTTGTTGGATACATCATTATCAAGTTTGAATAAATAAATGCACTCTAAAGATCATATATAACGGTTGACTTACAAGTTTAGTCCCTGAAATTATAGATTTGTATCTAGTAGGTTGCTAAACTTTAAAAAGTGTCAAATAAGCACCTAAACTCTCAATTTAGTGCATAATAACTCTCCATACTTTAAAAGTGTCTAATGGGTCCTTGAACTTTCAATTTTCAATTTTGTATCTAATAGGTCCATAGTTGAAAATGTGAAATAAGTGAAAGGACTATTAAATTTTGGAGACCTAATAGACAATTTTTAAAAGTTAAGGGGCCTATTTGATGCTTTTTAAAGATAAGATATTTATTAAACACATACCTAGTTCAAGGACTAAACTTGTAATTTAACCTAAATAAAATGATTATTTATTCTCAAACAAAAATAGGGTGCCTTTTTTTAAATAAAATTTCCAAGCTTTCATACCATTTGAACCATTATACTCAACAAATAACAATAAGGTTCCCTCTATCCATATGCATTAACAAAAGGGAGGAAGGAAATTTTGAGACACAATCCATATAACATGAGCCGCTTGAGAATGCATTAGATATAATGATCATTAGCTGGCTGACTACTATCAAACGTTGGAGCAATAATTCTCCAAAATAATTCAAGGATTGAATGGGAAAAAAAATCACCCAAAAATGTTTCGTACCTTTAATTGCAACCTCCCGAAAGTTGGTTTTGGTGTTCGAGTATAACCGCTTCCACTCATCCAGGATCATCTTACTGGGAGGCAGCAGATCAAGAGGATTTTTGGGTTTTGGCTTTGGTGCCTCATCCTCTCCCTCACCAGCTGCAGCCTTGGGCTTCTCCTTTTCAGCCTCGTTTTTGGGTTCTTTCTTTACCTCATCCTTGTGTTTTTGCTTAGCAGAGTCATCAGGTTTCTTTGCAGATTGAACGGGTGGAGCCAACTCGGCCTGCTTCACCTCACCCAGAATCTTTTTGAAGTTTGGTTGATTGACCAAGGTCCAGAAGTATCTCTCAACATGTGGGAACTCTGAGGTAAAGCTCTTAGTCAAGAGCTTAGTAAAACCCAAATACAGGTTGCAAGTCATGATGATGTCAGCCAGTGTTACAGAATGACCAACCAGGTATGTGTTTGAAGCAAGGTTTGTATTCAAAGCTCCCAAAGCTCTTTTCAATGCTGAAATAGCAGCTTCCTCGACCTTAACAAAGAAAAACACACGAAACCAAGCCAAATGAGATGGGTACCAATCAAGTGAACACTAAATTACAATAAGAAACTATGGATATGTACGTATTAACAATCATAGAATCTAGAACTTGATCAAATTGCAATGAAATGGTCGGAATAATATGAATAGAAGAATTTCTAGTGTGATAACAAGATGAAAACTGTATCAGAGAGATTAAAAAGACCACAAATTTGTCACAAAAGCTTACTCACAGGAGGAAGATAAGCAGCTCTCCCAATTCTAGGTCTAAACCAAGCCAAAATATTAGAATCTATCTCCAAAGATGCAAAATCGATCCATTGTTCAATACGCCCCTGAAATATAATCAGGAAAGAATGAAAATCATAGTTAATAAGCGTAATTTCCACAGGTCATAGTATGAAGGAGGTCTACATGGAAAAAGAACAAAAATGCTATAAACAGAAACAACACCACCAATGGCAAAAGCAAAATGCATCTTACATAATCTATCAGGGATGAACCATACAGAGGACTATCAGCTTTCAAGCGCGTAACTGCATCATCAAATATGTAAACAAGTAAATTTTAATACAACCACTTAACTAACCCCAAGGTTTAGCAAATGGTTCACATCATTTACCGTAACGGGCTATAGCATTACTCTCGAATATGGGGCCATCTGGAGTTTCTAAAACTGGAACCTAAAGTAAGAGAGAAATCCTCTTAGAATGTTAATATGTCTCCAACAAGTAAAACAATAATTTTTAGTAAGACTTAGAAAGCAACCTTCCCAATAGGGTTCATCTTGATAAATTCTGGAGTTTTGTTTGAGACGCCCATCTCAAAGTTTGGGGTTAGTTCAACTTGAACTCCATTGTACTCCGCAGCAATGAGAGCCTTGAAAGCATTTTTATTTGTCTTTCCTGCGTGCAAGACCTGCAAGATAAATTACACTCCGGAATTAGAGCTATCAAATAGTTGCAGATCAATTTTCCAAGTAATTAAAATTGGCCCATCGAAGGGTGAATCAGACCCAAAACATACATAATTAACAACAATCAAGACAAATTTCGTTTACTGCAATTCATTGAATTTTTTAACTCCAAAAGTTCAAACACAGAGCCAATTTCTCACAGCTCATAGAAAATTAAAAAGTGAATACAAGTATCGATCACCCACCAGTGCCATGGCTGAATGGATAAATGCTCTACACTCTAGCTTCAGATCTGGAGACAGAATGAAGAGTTCATCCGTGAGTAAACAGTAAACTGAAAAATTACAAGGAAGTAGTTTCCGCGATGGCAAACAACAAACTGAAAACTTGTTCATTAACAGAACGAGAGAACACAGAAATTGAAGATTGAATTGGAGAAGTAGACCTGCGCAATCGGAGGACAGAAACAATGACGGCGGCGAGTTCAGTGCGAGAAGGATGCAGTTGGAGAGTGGAGTAGGGTTTTGGGAAATCGACCTTTTAAAAGTTTATGGTTTTAAAACGATGAAATTGCACCAAACGACTTTAATTGGAAGGGATCAATGCAATATAATCGCATTTTGGAAAATTTGTTATTTTAACGTTTTTCTGTGTCATCGTTATGAACTTTTTTTTTTATCTTTTATTGTACCCAATATAATTTCCATTTTTTTGGGTTACTTTTACTCTTTATCTACGTTTCATCTTCACTAGTCTTTCTCTTTTAATCAAAATTTTCAATTGATTTATTTTCTGTAATTTTTTGTTTTAATTTTATTTCTGTTTTTTCTTTTGTTGAGTTGTATTATTTTATTCCATTTTTATTTATTTGGGACTCGATTTCTCTCTCCATTCACAAATCTATTTTTCCTCTCCTCTCCTTCTCCTTCTCCTCTCTTTTTTCTCTCTCAAAAAACTCCATGGAATTAAAATTCTGTTAGTTCATTAATAGAATACTGACAAAGCGATGTGTTGGTAATTTTAATAATATAATAATATTTATTAATTTTATATTACTTTTAGTTGTGATTTTTTTTTCTTTTATTCCTCTCTCTTCTTCCTTCTTCCCTTCAATTCTCTCAAACTCCAAGCAAGTTGCCAACATTAGTAACAGTATACCACAGTCAGATTCTTTCTCCTCCATAGTATTACATCTGCAACTGATCAGATTAAAAACTAAGAGTTAAACCTAATACTAAAATACTTACCGGATCATAAACACAATCTTAATTAACTTTTAGGCATAAGTATTCTAGAACTCTAATGGCAGCAGTAAATTTCAGAATCCACACAAAACTTTCAGCAATTTAAGAATACACTACATTACCCATACGAGTGAATACCTACGACAAGAAATGAATCCTAATTTTAGGATGACTGACCCTTTTAATCTAGTCCATATAATTTATTTTTCGGGGGTTCGAGGAAATATCTAATATACCAAGTTTTAGGTACAAGAGGATTAATGCCAAATCCACGTGGACAAATGATTTATTTGCCCATTCAAAACGATTTACGCGAGGGACTCCTTACGGAATATATCATTTTAATTTTACGCGAGCAAGTATGATATAAACCCAAGAGATTCTCATAGGATCGCTTCTCCTTCAGAAAGGATGATATAAATCAACTTTTTTCTAAGATATCTAGCGCCGACAAACCAACTAGTCAGTTCGGTAGATCGGTATCGTTGGAAAATCAACCTTTTATGTTTTTTCAATTTTTTTCTACCCTTTGAAGACAGAGAAGGTTGAGGGATGAACTTGCGGCAGTGCTACTCGACGATGCACACAGAAGAGAAGTAGAGGAGTAGGGTGATGCAGTGCTGCGAAAGGAAAAAAAAAAAAAAGGAGAACTGAGTGGGTGAAACGAAATCAGAGAAGGAGGTGGATGGGGTGCAACTTGAAGAAGAAGAAGAAGAGGTAGAAGAAAGAAGAAGAAAGAAGAAGAAAGAGGAGACATTGGGATTACGAAGGAAAAGGAAATATGGGGAAAGGAAAATGAAATATGGGGGACTGTGAAGCAAAATGAAGTTTTGGAGGCTCAAGGTGACGGCATGAAAACCTAAATATAATATAATTTTTTTAATGGTAAGTGTACCATTGGTCGGTATGTGGATTAATTGATGCCGACAACCGACCTGTAGGTTCTAAAATTTCAGAACCAACCACCGACTGGCCAACTTCAGTTTGGTCAGTTTCGGTAGGTTGACTCGATTTTTCAGGTTCCTTTACTCACCACTAGTAAAGATCAACTTTCTCCTTATTACCCTTAAATATTTAACAACTTATTATTTTTTAAAAGAAATTTTTATTTTCGTATTTCTCTTGTCATGTATTTAATGGTGGTAAGGACAAGGTTGCTCCTTACTAGTAAGTAGTCAAGTTGTATCCCTTTTTTCTTAAGAAGCCAATTTTTTGTCCAACTTTACACCGAAAAAGGTGAAAGAAAAGAAAATGTTACAGTGTTCTTTAATATCTTCTTAAAAACATGATTCCATCATTATAAGGAGATTTTAGTAATTTAGTTCTTAAAAGAAAATTTAGATTTTTCTTTTCTGAATTAAGGTATTTGTGGGGGATATTTGGTCTTTTGGTTAAAATGAAAAAAAAAATAAAGGAAAATATATTTTGGGATGTTATTTTGTGGCACGTGGCTTTGGTGGAGAAAAAAGAGGAGAAGAGAAGAAAGAGATTGGGAGGAAAAAGAAAGAAAAGAAACTGAAAAGCATGTGGCTAATTAAAAAAGAGGAGGAGAAAGAATGAAAAGAAAAGGAAAGAATAGGGAAACAAACGAAGAAGAGAAAAAAATAAAGGAGAGAGTATGGATTTCACAAAATTTCATTAAGAGGCTGGAAATCTTATTTTCGAGGTTGAAATTGCATTGAAATTAGCAAAACTTGGTAATTAAGGACTCGTTTAGTAACGTTCATGTTTTTTGTTTTTATTTCTTCATTTTTAATAAAGAAAAATGAATTGAATGACCAGAACATCCATAAATTCATGTATGATAAGACAATCTTTTTATTTATATTTTAGAAAAAATTGGGAATGAAAACAAGAAAAAAGAAACTGTTTCGGTTGTTTCCAAAATATCTATAAATTTGAAAATGTTCCCAAAAAATGAGAAACAATAAACATATTTAGTTGCAAAATGCTTAAATTCCTTAAAAAAATTGGAAACGAGAAACAAGAAACAAGAACGTTACCAAACAGGCTCTAAACTTGCTTCCTTGGATGACGTCTTTTTTTTAAGTAGAATAGTAGATAAATTCATTAATCAAAAGGCTTGTGGGCTACAATTAAAAGGATATCACCCTTAGTAGCATTAATAAGCGACAACGGAAAATAAATAGACGAAGATAAACTGGCTAAAAAGGGAAAACAAGACTTTGCGTAAACGAGCTAGCTTGTTGCTTTCATGCGGAAGGTGGAGAAACGAAATACATTGAAATTGAAGAGCCCGACTTCGCACATCCAACAACTAATTAAGCTCATCCTCGATCGAAGAAATCTCACCACAAATAAGCTTAATAGCAAACAAGCAATCGGATTCCCCCTACAGATTATGGCAATGCAAATCTTGAGCAAGACGCATGTGTTGGGTTTGTAAAGGTAATGCAAACAAAGTCTCACATTAACTAGGGAAGGAGGTGATTATGTGTATATAAAACAGGACAATTATCTCTATTGATATGATGTCTTTTGGGTGAAATCAAAAGCAAAGCTGTGAGAGCTATGCCCAGACACTATCGTACCATTGTGGAGATACATGGGATACTTGGGGTACCCATTGTCCTTAAGAAGTGGCATCAGAGTCATGGTCTAAACCTAGCTGTGTCGGTGAAATCTTCGGGTGTCGAGTAAAGAAGTGGTGAGCCTCAAAAGGTGTAGTTATGACGTAATTTGTGGGTGTGCTTTATCAAAGTGTGACGGCAGCCTTGGATAAGAGCAAAACTCTCGTTCTGGTTTTCGAGAGTAGACGAATAAGTGACTATTTGAGGGGAGACTCGGTGGTACTTTGTTCTAGGGGGGATTGTTGGGTTTGTAAGGGTAATGCAAACAAAGTCATAAATTGGTTAGGGAAGGAGATGATCATGGGTATATAAGAGAGGACAATTATCTCCATTGTTATGAGGTCTTTTGGGTGAAACCAAAAGCAAAGTCGTGAGGGCTATGCCCAAAGCGGACAATATCATACCATTGTAGAGATACTCGGGGTACTTGGAGTACCAGTGTCTTTAACAGTATGTCTTTAATAATTGCCCTAATTTCAGCAAGGAGCGGGAAAAAAGGAATAGGGATGAAAATTGACGAAGCTGCAATAATCTATCTGCCCATGAGAATCACAAAGGAAAATACTTAGCCCTGTTGAAGAACTTTGACGATTACAGGCAACATCGATGGACACCTTGATACACCCTGGAGGCGGAGGCCTCCTTACTGCAGCAGAAAATGGGCAATTCCTTGCACAATGATGGAAGGTTTAGTAGAGGCCCGAGGACTTTGCATAATTAAGGATCCACTCGCATTTTGCGTCAATTTCAGGAGCTTGCTTGTTTTGAAGCAAAGTATTCCGATCAGACCAGAGAACCCAGTAGGTACGGGTAGCTAAATCTCTGTCATTCGAATTAAGGCTTTTTGAAATCTCACACCATGCATCCTTGAATGACAAAAAAGGGTTAGAAGGGAGCAACAACGTCAGGAGCAACCTCTGACAAATTTTCCGAGCTCGTTTATAATATAAGAGCAAGTGGGATGCCGTCTCTAGCTTAGAAGGGCAACGAGAGCAGAAAGGTAAAACCTCTAATCCTCTATTTTGTAGATTAGTCATCATTGGAAGGTGTTCGTGTGAAGCTTTCCATAGGAATTGCTTAACTTTAGAGGCAACATTAAGCCTCCACAACTCCATCCACTACTGTCCTCTATTGTTTCTGTTGGTAGAAGTGAAATACATAGGAATTGCTTAACTTTAGAGGCAACATTAAGCCTCAACAACTTCATCCACTACTGTCCTCTATTGTTTCTGTTGGTAGAAGTGAAATAGCATCTTGAGTGGACAAAAAATAGCTTGTAACCACTCTTAGAGGCAACATTGTAAGATCCCCGCTTGTCATAGTGCTAGATTCATGTGTCCTGGGCATTTGTACAACTTAGGGGAATGGATTGGATAATGTCACTACCTTCATGGGCGAAGAAATTTGAAAGATTCCTTGGATGATTTTGAAAGAATAGAAACTGAATAGGGGTTTTATGAGTTGTTCTATTTCTATGTTCAAGAAATTTCTTAAAGATGGAAGATTAGAATCATCCAAGGAAGTAAGTTTAGTTACCAATTTTTGCTCATTTCAATAATGGTTGAGATATTCAATTCCTGCTTAAAAAACAAGATTCTCAAATCCTCGTAAATTTTGTGAAATTTCTCCTATATTCTCTCCTCTATTCTTTATCTTCTTTGTTTTTTCCCCTCTTCTCTCTTTTTTGTTTCCCCTTCTTTTTCCTTCCAATTTCTTTCTTCTTCACTTTTTTAATTAGTCACATGTCTAGGATAT